CATAATTATTGTAATGTTTCAGTATTTTGTTCTAATAAGACAGTTTGAGATAGAAACATTATGTAAATACTCACTGGTATTAACAGACCAGAGAGCCTTGACCTCGTTGTCCTGATATAAACTGTGTGCAGGTGTAAAGACCAGCATCCTCGACTGTTGCATTCTTTATAACCAGAGAACAGTCGCTGTAAACATCAGTCTGTCTGATTTAGCTTTGGCATTTTCACCAATCTGTCCGAGTTTAATCAGCTCTACTATTTGGTTTGAATCCCAGAACAGCCATGTTGTATAGCCACATCTCTGCTGACCATCATTCACGTTATCACAACGCAAAGTGACGTCGTCTCCAACTCTGACAGTGAGGTGTTTAGCTGCCGCTGTTAAGACGAAGACACACAATCACGAAAAATAATGTAAAATGTTAAATAAAATGTAGATAATGAAGTATCTTTAACAATACTGATAGTTTTTATATATGTGATATATGTGTTCTTACCTGTAAAGTGAAGCAGCACTATCAGAAATAAAGACATCTGAATCCATTTGACCCCAACCATCGTGATCCTCTGTCTCTCTTCTCCTTCTTCTGTCTCTTGTTCTTGTGTTCATAACTGAGTTTATAAAGTAGCTTCAGCATCTACTTCCTGTGGTAATTATGATTTCACTTCCTCATTGTGACCTTTAGTCTGTTTTAGATTTTCATCTCTGAATTTCTTATAAATGTTCAAACTGCCAAAAACCCTGTCGCAGTTTTTACTGTTACATTTCGTAGATGTAGTTTTCTCCCAGAGGAAAGAAATATATTTCTGCATCCATTGAGCCAATCTAACAAACTATATAAATATATGTATCTGTTACAATGACGTGTTTCACATCCTTAGAGGAAGAAGAAGTTTAATGTGTGAAGACTGTGAGTGAAAATAAATGTTTGCGGTGATGCATCTTGTGTTATTTAGATAATGTTTATTAGCAAACAGACAGAAGTCATGGTTTGACCTAAAATAACTGATTTCACAGCAGCTTATCTATAAAAATGTTAATGTTTTTAGGTTGTTTTCGTCTGTATCTCAGCATTTTGTTCATTTCTGTGAGGAAAAGTTAATGTAAAGTAAACTGTTCAGTAAACTGTCAAATAGTTATAATAATATAATACAATACAAATACAAAATAAACATAAAATATGTCACTGCGGGTCCTAAAAGAAGAAGGTTGGGAGCCACTGTCATCGGTGAACTTCTGTTTTTAAACGTGTTTGGGCACATTTGTGCTTCTGTACATGTGAAGCCTTTTTAAACAGTTAGTCAGGTTGTTTTACTGCAGCTGCTTCACCAGCTCCGGGTCCATCTCACAGTCTGCAGGTTTCTGTACTCTCAGCACTTTCTCTTTGGACTTCATCTTCGGTTTAAAGTCCACAGAAACCAGCTCCCTCCGGACCCGCTGCTCCCTCTGCCTCCCCAGCAGCGCCAGGGTCTCCCTCCTCTGGTCGGCCATGTCCGCATACCGCTGCCTCTCCTCCTGCCTCTGCCGGACGGCGGGGCCCCTCGGCGGCTCCGGGGCCCACTGTTTGGGACCGGCGGTGCTGCTGCGCTGCGGCCGGGACACCGGCAGTCTCTGGCGGATGTCTGCCGACACCAGCCGGGACTCCAGCGGTGGCAGCAGGGACAGGGAGCTCCACAGCTGCCTGGCATGGGACACGTCCTCCGGAGAAGAGCCGTCAAACACGGTGAAGAATTGCTCAAAGTGCTCCTGGTCCGGAGGCTCCGGCGGGGCAGACATTTTACTTTCAGCACAGAAAACCGTTAATTACACCGGAAAGCAGGACTTTATACCACAGGTAGCTGATGGCGTCGCGGTTGTCATGGCTGTTGTTAGGTATGGTCACCATGGAAACGGGAACAGGAGTCACAGCTTCCGCTTAAACCTTTCAAAATAAATGTGGGGTAAACTGGGGGAAGATGCCCCTGTAAAGAAAACTTACAGAATAATTCGGATTGTACATAAACAGTACACAACATAACAGTTTAAGAAAGAGGCTACAAAGTTTGTATAGCAAATCCAAAAAGTAAGCAAAATTAGCCAAGTTAATTTAAAGAGGAATGCTACTTGTTGTAGTGAGCTAAATTAGCCTCGCCTACTTAGTTAGTAAATTAAATAATCACAATATGTATTTTCTTACTGTATCCTGCAGCCCCAATACAAGTACACATGTATTATCAGCAAAAAGTATTGTAAAGTAATATTATTGCCTCTAAAGCGTATTATATTATTTCAGATGTATTCATGTGTGAGATTGTCTGTAATGTTGGTGGGTTTGTAGGTAATTAACTACTTTACATACTATTGGTGCAGTTAAAAATGTAGGATGTATAGTTTGTAAACCTTTAAAACCTTTCTACCTCATGCTGCTTATAGTCTTAATCTTGGAAGTAATAAAGTAATATAAATGGAAATACTCAAGTAGAGTAGGCTACATATACCTCAGCTTGATTAAATATACTCTAAACAGTTAAAGTCGAAAACAGTAAACCACTCTACATCTGTGCACAATGTAAAGCTTTACTTTGAAGGCAGTTGAACCTCTCCTCCTGATGTGATTGGCTGGATGGAAGTCGCTCCTGGCTGCTGCCAACTTTGGAAACAAGGCGGGTCCGCCACCGCCACTGCTCCACCCCCAGGTGTCGCGGGCTGGTTTAAATAGTGTGGAGGAGGAAGGACCGCACTATCATCATCATCACTTCATTTACCTGACATGATATTCTCATTTCCCTGGAGTCGAGCCTCCATCCTGCACTGAGGGCTGAAGCACTGCACAGTGAGTACAACAGTTCAGTTTTCTTCTTACAGATGAGATGAAGCAGCTTTAATACAGAGGGTAAGTGGAGGCTATTACTACTAACATGCAAGAAACTCTTGCAGAAATTACTTTCATTTTTAACTTTAATTAGGCTCAACGACTGTTATTCTTATCAAAAGGTGTAAAGTAGCTGAAAAAAGTAGCTTGTTGAACAATTATGTCACTTTTAAAACCAAAACACATTAATATTGTGTTAAAATGTGCTTTTGGAGAACATTTTTATTAAGTTTAATTAAAAAACAATAGCTTGCTGCATTACTTTAAATGTCTTAAAGTGCAATAAGAAGTTTAAATATGATATTTTAACTGACATTTCTCAGAAAGATATCTTAATTAGAGATGCTTCATATTGATTTCTGCTCACATACCTGCTCTGTTTCACCACACATGGATGCACTTTGTGACATGTCACCATTTTGGTGTAAACGGTAAGCTTGGCTGGACACATGAGCTGCACCTTATAAGGTAGTATGCCTGCTAAGTCCCTAGCATCCCTCTTTGGGCTACCAAGCTACCAGGAGCAAAGGGTTAGCCAAACATGGGCATTCCAGCATGGCAGCTCAGTTGTTTGATTATAGGGGTTATCTGTGTGCTGCTTTTCATGTTTTATTGCCTGCTGTTCAATGGGAGGTCAGAGCAGCCCTGTGACCTGCATGAAGAGACAGATGCGAGGATAAGTGAGTAAGTAAAGCTCATCGCAGACCTAGGGAAATGTGACGAGGCCGATATCAGCAGTAATCAGTCGGGTCAGTTCACTAAAAACCAATTAATGTAAATGGTGTGACAAAGGCAGCAGTTTGAGTCACAGGAGGAGGAAGAAAGAGAGGAAACGTGTCGGTTTAGTTACTTTAATCATAGAGTTTGTGACGAATGTTTTGTAATATTTTTACATCCCAGAACAGTTTTGAATCAACATGTGATGACTTGTCTTAGGGTCGTTTGCTTTATGTTTCCAGCACTCATCGACTGGACTACACTGTCCGGATGAAGATTTGTTTTTGAGGGTTAAACTCTTGATAGATAGTCGCTAGAGATATTTTTTTATCCGAAACTTTAACTTTGATTGTTGCTTTTTAAAGCATAAATGTCTGAAAATCAAAGTTTATACTTAACATTGGATTTAAAGGTCTGTTTCTTCATCATTTTAGACTCCTCTTAGTTGACTTTATTAATGAGTTATTGAAGCTGCATTAAAGATCTAGTGTACAACATTTAGAAATGTAATATAATATAATATATATGTATTAAGTATGTTTTCATTAGTGTTTAATTAGCTGAATATAAGAATCGTTATGTTTTTGTTACTTTAAAATGAGACGTTTTTACCTACAAGTCCTCTTCTAGTGGCAGAGTCCGCCATGTTGAAGCACCATGTTCCTACAGAAGCCCAAAATGGACAAAAACTAAACACTGGCTCTAAATAGGGGCTTTCGCATTTTTCATGAGTTTTGTGACCACCGTAATTTCTTTTACATGCTTGGGAGGCGAGGTTTCAGTCTATATGTTTCTGGACCAGTTTGAACCGAAGCGATCAGCGTCTTTTTGAGGAAGTACTGGCAGGTTAGGGGGCGCTAGGTGTGACGTAGTGTGAAGACACTGTTTGTGAAACAAAAAAGGCAGCTCCCGTAGATGTAAGTGTCTTAACTGGAGAGTATTTCTATATTGAAAGAAGAGCAAACAATGGCACTGAAAGACCCTAGTTGCTCTTTTGTGCTGAGGAGGGTGAAGCGAGGGAGTTGCAATCTGCAACTACACTACTAGATGGCACTAAATCCTACACACTGTAAATCAAGATGAACTTTGAAGAATTGTTCTGCATTTTGGTAAATATACTTATTTGCTTTTTTTGGCCTGAAGTTATAAGAGAAGATTGACACTGATGAAGCTTCCACCAGCAGCCGATTACCTTAGCTTAGCACAAACACTGGAAACAGGGGGAAACAGCTAGCATGGCTCTGTGCAAAGGTAACACAAGTTTGCTTTCCAGCTCCTTTAAAGCTCCACGTTACATCCTGTTTGTTTGTACAAAAACAAAGTGTAAGCAGTGACTTGCTGGATTTGAAGTCGCCAGGAAAGCTGCACCTTCATATTTACTACATCAACCTTCTGATCTAAAGCAAATACATGTATTTCCCAAATTATCAAACTATTCCTGATGCAACCTCGCTAGCAGATAGAGCAACAAGCTAATTAAGCTTATTGATGGAGAATTAACAAAATGTGTTTTAGCTCACATTTTATTTTTGGAATTCTTTATTTAAAGTTTTCAAATATGCAAGAACAGTACAAACTATTCCCATTAAAAACTTAATAATACAATGTGCAGCCAACAGAAAACAAGGAGGTGAAAGAAAGAAATAATAACAATAAATAATAATTTAAAAAACATCAAACATTTGTCCCTGAGATATCTCAACAGTTGTATCTGGATGTAGTTCACATTATCATTGTTTGATTTTTGTTATGTCAGCAGGCCAGAGGTCAAAGCGAGGTCAGAGGTCAACCCGACTCCCATCACCCCACCAGAGGCTGACCCAGTCTCCAGTGACGATCCATACGTCAGCTCAACCGTCTCCGAACCTCCAGCGATCGACTCCGACGCCGCTGCTGATTCAACTGCTAACAGTGATATTTCAGACATGGCTGAACCTGCTGATGATGGCAAGTTCCTCTTCCTGGACAACGACTTCCGCAACAGCGGCGTGGCGCAAGCCGACTGGGCGGCCAAGAAGATGGTGTGGATACCGTCAGAGAGGGAGGGCTTCGAACAGGCCAGCATAAAGGAGGAGAAGGGTGATCAGGTAATGTACGCCCTGACGATGCCGTCAATAGCAGATGCTGTTGTTACATGACTTTTTCTTGTACTTTTAACCCATCATTGTTTTCTGTATCAAAGGGTTGGATGGACGTCCTTACAATCAGGAATAAATAGCTGTTTTATGTTATTTATTTATTTATACGGTAAAATATGGAATAAAATCAAATTAAAACAGTACTAATATCCTTTTATCATAATTGTAGAAAGAGTTTCGCCATTCAATCACAGCTCAAAAACCTGTTTTAGGGTAGAGAACCTCTTGAATTGAATTAACTGCCCTTAAACTTGAGTTTTGCATTCGTATCGGAGATTTTAAAGCTTTATTATCTGATGTGTTTCTTATTCTCAGGTCTCTCCTGGAAACAAGATCTTAATCTTGATAAGCCTGATTAAATAAAGATAATTATAATTAATGGTCACATAACATCACCAAAAAGTCATGCTTTTTAAGAGACTAGATATATCCGAACAATAAAATCACAGAGGCAACTGTGATAACTAGGCTTAGTTTTGTTTTATGTGTGCGTTTCTTGGCGGCAGGTCCTGGTGGAGCTCTCCAACGGTCAGAAGGCGACGATAAACAAAGACGACATCCAGAAGATGAACCCGCCCAAGTTCAGCAAGGTGGAGGACATGGCCGCCCTCACCTTCCTCAACGAAGCCTCTGTCCTCCACAACCTGCGAGAGAGATACTTCTCCAGCCTGATCTATGTGAGGAACACACACACACTCATTCACTCATTCATAATGCAATCCGAGGTCAGCGGGTGACCAGCGCTGATCCTTCTCCTTATAAACACCTTGAGGTTCACAGTGACCTGTTTAGGGACCGTGTGCAGACCTCAGGATGTACCGGGGGGGGATCAACAGCTTATGTTTTTTATTTATTCAGTCAATCTTACAAAGTCTAATAAGGTCCTGGATGTAAAATTAAAACCTTAGTTGCCATCTGCAGTCCCTCCAGTCCATATATGACCAGACAGCATCCGAGCAGCCAAAAACATCTCATACGCTGAACTCTAAATATGAACCCTCTGGTATAATAATAATAATTATAATGACACCCACAATGAAATAATTCAAGGATTCAAGGTTATTTTATTGTCATTTACAACGGAAGATTGTAGAATTAAATTTAGATATAGTTCACTTTATGCTGCTTTTAAAAACAAAATAAATGAATTATTAAGGAAGAATATATATTATCCATATTGACAAAGGTTTAAACAATTATATTTTATACATCCAAAGATTTTAATTCAAATCCAGACCAGGCCTCTAATTGAGACTTGGCCACGTCAGGCTAGTAAAGGAGACCTGCTTTTAATTTAATAAAGTTTTCTTTCTCAGTCGTTCCCAACCTGTTTCCTTAAGGGACCCCTTAAACTGAGGAAACTGATGACTAAACTCAACAAACAGCTGATAAACTGCACAATTAACCCAAATAATGAACCAATAACTGTTGGAGGTTTGTGTAAAATGAGCAATTTGGATGAATTTTAGCTTTCTTTTAGATTATTTCCTGTGAATATTGATCCGAGGTGAGTTTTTCTGATATTTGTAGAAATGTTTTATACAATCTGCTGTCTGTATTATAATTAATTCAATCAATTGAATTGAATTGAATACTTCTTCCTGACACTTCTACTGCTGCTCGTGTTCTGGTCATCAAAGTTTAGATATTAATACAATAAAAGAATTTTTAATCATTGAAGTTGCACAAACTCAACTTTGTAAGTTAAAAAAAGTTCTCGATTAAGTAACTTTAAGTAGTTTAAGTGACACAAACATTTACTACATTGTTGGTTTGGGGTTTAGTAGCCTACAAATTACATTAATTACTGTGATCTAGGGGTGCTTCTAACAATTATTTTCATTATCAGTTAATCAGGCTTGGTGACCCTTAACCCTTAACCACTGATCTATATGAAACCAGACAACCTAAATTTGACTGCAAGGTGTCCCCTCTCTCTCTTCCTCCACAGACGTACTCGGGTCTGTTCTGCGTGGTGGTGAATCCCTACAAGATGCTGCCCATCTACTCTGAGAAGATCATCGAGATGTATAAGGGCAAGAAACGCCACGAGGTGCCGCCGCACATCTACTCCATCACAGACAACGCCTACAGGAACATGATGCAAGGTAGCCACCCGTGTGTGAATCCGTGATCAATATATCGCTGTGTCAGGCTGGTGCCTAATCTAATCTAATCTAACTAATCTGAGCCGCCAAACACTTTTAAAATTGAGGTGAAATGAACAATGTTGTTTTCGTTCAAAACTGGACCAAAATAAAAAAAACATGTTGTCCCCAGTAGTCGCTTTGACACAAAAACTTTGAAAGTAGCGACTTTACACACACTGCAATGTAATTTTTTGGCTTTAGAGACTAGTTTTACACTTGTAAATTAAGAGTATTAACCCTTTAAAGGATGTAAACATGGATGCAGAGTGTCCCAGAAAACACTGAACACTACCACCTCATCATAACCCTAGCATTAATAAAAATGGAGGAATAAAACTGGGATTAAATATGTTAATAATAGATAAATAAATTATATGAGCGTTTATGAATAGTTTTATTCTTATGTTTCAATTCTTATTTATTTGGGTATTTTTACTGCATTTTCTCCTGTGAAATATATTTATGTTGATATTTGTTGTGGTGGGTGGATGGAGTACTGCTGCTGTTACTACTGTACAGTTCTGGGTGGAAATCACATTTTTAAAAATGTTGATTTATAGGAGAAAAACCAAATGTTTCTCTTAAAGAAACAGCAAACACATACAATTATCGTATGAATGCTGCTGAATAAAAGCTGAATGGCGGCAGCAAGCAGCCCCAACTTGAAGCCTCAGAGCGTGCCGTCTCTTCTCCGGATGGTCTGCCGGTGACCTCAGACCGACTTCGTACTTTCCATTCAGCTCCAGGATGGCCATACATGGAGCAGGGAGACAAGATTACAGCCGATGGAGCCCCTGCATCCACCTGCTATTTTTAGATGATATGAGTGATGGAGGCTAATCTCCCTCTGAACGAGATTTCAGAACCGTTTGTGCTCCCGTTGTCCGAGTGAAGCGCCGCCGCCTCAGAGTTCATGTTTGGTCTTCTCAGCTTGGCTTCAACTAACGAGCTCAGTCAACATTTCACATTATTTCCCCCCTTTTAACGTCCGTCTTCCTCTCTCTCTCTCTCTCTCTCTCTCTCTCTCCTCTCTTTCTTCTCTCACAGACCCGCGAGGATCAGTCTATTCTGCTGCACGTTGAGTTCAAAACAGTAAACAGTTTGCCATCAACTCGAACTTTAAGTTTTTAAACAAAGAAAAGCTGATTACCTGCCTGTGGGGACTTGCATTTGTCCCGCGTGCCATTGATGGCAGGGCGAGTCCCACCAGTGTGAGTTGGGTAATCAACTTTGTTGGCTCAGATTTGCTTGTAAAGTGTGCAACTATGTAATATAATTTAGTATAGCAATATGACAACTTTGAAATCGTTGTCAGTTAATCTGATTGCAGTTTATTTAATTCATTGATTAGTTTGGGCTGCTAAAACTGTGGGCAGATCTCTGACACGAGTTTGGTGGTCACAACGCTGGCAAGGATTTTAACAGCGAGCGGTAGACTGTAGAAATTGAAGTTTAAGAAAAGGACAGTTGGAATATAAACTGTAGTAATATGAAAAAAATGGAATGCCTGGATGTAGAGGTAGTTGTAGAGCAAAGGTCTGTTGAGTAATGTCCCAGTACGCAAGGAAAGTTTTTAGTTAAAATATCTTCAGGCTGGGGTTTGGTTTCCAAGCAAAATATGACTAAATTAGAATATATTTGCATGATTAAAAAGTCTGTTAATCTCGCTAAAGTGCAACATGATAACAAACTGGACATTTTTGCTATCTTATGTAAAAAAGAATGACTAGTAACTTTTCAAATTTCACATTGTTCTATTATCTTGCTTATAACTGCTACTAATTAAAAAATGAGATGATTTTCAGGCAAATATTGATTTTTTAAAATTTTTTAGAATTCCACAATCACCCAATCATGATCAATCTGTTCTCCTCTCTGTTCCACCCTATCTCTCCATCAACCCAGAGGTGAGTGCCTGAAGCAGGAAGACAAGAACACCAAGAAGGTGATCCAAGTACTGGCGGTGGTCGCATTTCCACAAAGGGCAAAGAAGACGGTGGAATCCTGTTGGAGTAGCAGTCTTGACTTCAAGAAACTCCTTCAAGATGTTTAAACAATGTGCGTCTACGTCAGCAGGCTATGTGAATAGTTTCATAAAACAAAATAATTACAGGAATAGAAGTTAAATATGAATCAAAAGATTAATTTCAGGACCAAGTTATTCAACGATGGCAAGCCACAGTAAGACGTGATGTCAAGTATATTCCATATTCATTAACTTATTTAATTATTTTTTAATTAATACTTCACACGCAAAAATTCAGTTGTCAATCGATTATAACTTAATAGTAAAGTTTTATTCAAAGTAAAAACAATATCAATATCACAAGTTTAAAAAATACTCATGCATTATGTGAGAATATCTACTGTGAGTGTAAAATATAGATAGTTAAAATATATATGGCATGGTTGGTTAGTATGGGACTTATTTAAGTTTTGGAGCAATATAAATCCTAAATGCAGTATATGGTTTATATGTCGGCTCAGCCTTTATTATAGAGAATGCAAAATTTACTAAGCGATGTATGGGTTGATACAGATATTCTGGTTTAATACAAAAAATAGGTTTCGATATATTGATGTCTAAAATCAATCAATCGTTAATTTTATGATGATAGAATATGATGTTGTCAGTTAGTCGCCTCGCGTTCCAAGGAGGATATTCGGGGGGCAACGTGGCCAATACATGATAAGACAGAAAATGCAGTATAAGGAAAAGTCAAACAATAAAATAATGAAAAGCTTAACTGGTTGCGATATACAGGATGTGGTGTGCAAAATGATAACTTACTAGAATTGGGCTAGTTTCTATTGCTTGACTAATTTGGAACTGAACTAATATGGCTATTGCGCATATAATTTAGAAAAACCGAACCAGGAGAAATAATCAATAAAAATGTAAAGGAATTTATACGAAAATCACAGATATAATAGGAATAATTGTACTAGAGAGAAGATTAGGTTTCAATAAATAATAATGACATTTATAGAAAATAGGAACATATGGCATAAGTGATTTAGATAATTTGATAAGATGTAAATTGAAAAGTGTTTTTCATTTTGCCATAATATTCTATTTCCCTATGAGTCTGAAGATTTCGCTTTGTATTTTAAGTTTATTCGAAATATCTATCTATCTATAGTCTATAGGGTGGACGACCACGGCCGCGAGATCGCGAATGTACCGACCGTGTGTGAAAAAAGTTCTGAAACATGTTGGAAAGATGTAATTTACAATTTGCGTTTATGATGTTTTCAGTGTTGAACTGAAGCTGCGTATACATTCAGTAAACATGTACGGTTAGCCATCATTACTGTAGACAATGGAGGATCTTTATTTGAACAACGTATTTCATAAAACATGAGATTCTATAACTGTTGTTATAAGCACTAGCTTTATTTCTTCTTAATAATAAATATATAATCATTCGGGATTGTTCTGCTGCACTATA